TAGACAGGACTAGAACTCACAATCTCTCAGTTTGTAGTGTGATGCCTTTAACCCCTGCATCAACGGGATAATCTAAATCTAAATCCCTACTTTTCAATCAAAAAGGTAGAGGGGATACAGTGAGTATAGGAACTAATAAAATACATTAAAACCCTGATTTTACAATGAAGGATTTTTCATTAAAACTAAACATCCATTAAGTCGGAATATGTAACTATGTATTTTTTTTAAATAAAATTAGCACATTTTATATTTATGTTAGCCTATAATTATATTGCCTCCTTATATAAAGTACTGTATATAAAATGCAAAAAAACCTTGCCCATTGTTGTTTTAGTTAATCCCACTGTCCGTGAACTAATTAAAATGTATTAAAATGTCCACACAGCACTCGAAGCCAGCCTGATTGCTAACCTAGGAACTGCATTCATGTAATAAATTAAGCTTGCCTACTTTAACGCTTGGTTAGGTTTGATTATGGACCTACTTTGCTGAAATCCTAGCCACTTGATGAAGTTAGAATTCACTCTGTTGGGCAAACCCAGAAAAGGCTCTGTTCCTATAACCATCTCAGGTAACACTGGCTATTTGGATGATCCCTGAGAGTTTTGCATCAATATTAGTTTCCATGGAATAATCACTTGGGAAATTCTATTGTCTGGCTGGAACACATGTCATCTGAACATGGCCACTGCATGAAGTTAATTTGGAAAGCCATTTTGATGGCTTATTCCAAGGGTCTTCAAAGTTGGCAAGTTTAAGACTTGTGGACTTCAACTCCCAGAATTCCTAAGTTAACATGGAAGGAGGAGGAGGAGAAATCCTGGGAGTTGAATCCACAAGTCTTAAAGCTGTCAAGTTTGAAGACCCTTGGCTTTCTCAGAAACCATGGGATTGCAGGAGAACTCACCTGTATTGTATTGCATCATATATCCTACAAGATCCTTTTTGGCCACAAGGGTTACTGCCCCACTTCAAGCAAGTATTATCAATCACTGCACCAAAGTAAACTGGGGCTGGAATTCCAGCTAGAAGATATTGAACAGGAAATATATATTAGCTTGTCATTCTTCGTTCTTCAGCATTCTTCAGCCATTTTCCTGGATGGGTTGACAGCAGAAGTAGGGGAAGATGTGCCCATGTATGAATAGCAATAGCACTTAGACTTATATACTTATTCACAATGCTTTACAGCTCTCTCTAAGTGGTTTACAGAGTCAGCCTATTGTCCCCAACAATCTGGGTTCTCATTTTACCCACGGAAGGATGGGAGGCTGAGTCAAACTCGAGTTGGTGAAAATCGAACTGCCAATCTGTAGGCAGCCGGCAGTCAGCAGAAGTAGCCTGCAGTACTGCATTCTAAGAGGTCTGTAGGGGCCGTGCATAAGCGCACCAACATGCCTACTGTCCCTGTCCTATTGTTTCTTTTTTTAATTTTTCTTATATGTATCCATAACTATGTTTATACTTATACCTGTTATCTTATAATTGCTTGACAAAATAAATAAATACATAAATAAATTCTAACCACTGCACCACCATGGCTCTTAAGAAGAATACAGGTAGCATTCAACTTACAATCATTCGTTTAGTGACTATTCAAAGTTACAGTGGCAATGAAAAAAATGACTTATGACCATTTTTCACTCCTACAACCACTGTAGCATCCCCATGGTCATGTGATCAAAATTAGGATGCATGTCAGATGGTTCATATTTATGATGGTTGAAATGTCCTGGGGTCATGTGACCATTTTTGTGACCTTCTGACAAGCAAACAGCGCCAAACAGCGGTCTAAGCATAGTTCACAAAATTGTCTGCTATAACATCTTGCCTGTCAACGATTTCTTCAGCCTCAATCACAACAATACATGGGCAAACAACAGATACAAACTCAAGATAAACCGCTCCAAACTTTATTTTATTTTATTTTATTTTATTTTATTTATTTTATTTATTTTATTTATTTTATTTATTTTATT